CGGATATCCTGACCTTGTTGACCGATAATGCCCCAGGATGAGACATCCGGACTCATAAGCTGGAACGGAAAACCTTATCGGCTTCATCCGGGAAGACCCGGGGAAAAAGGAGGAGTCGAAGGAGGTCAGAGGGGATTCTGGAGGACTTAGAGAGAGAGGGAGAGAGGTATAGCGAGAGCAAGAGCGAGGAGCAGCTTGTGGGGTTGGGCGGGGATCAACTAGAGATTTGCCTGTGAGACGTTTTTCTGGTATTTTTGGTGTTGTGTCTTTTGTCCCTCCAATATTTTATTTCATCATTCCTTTTATTTTAAACCTTTGAATATTAATATAAATGTGCAATTATTTTGAAATTCCGATTGTGGATTTTCTTTTCTGTCGAGGATTGTCGCGAATTTCATGTATGGCACTAACCTGTTGTAACTGGAAGACATACTCCAGTAGTTTTCCAGCTCTCGACTTTAAATGTGTTGCTTCCTCGAGGTAATAATGTAATATTGGGTCAGGGAACCTTCATCCCTATTAACTGGGGAGTCAGCATTTGAAATTGGATATGGAATGACCGTAAATTGTAACCATTCTATGAACTTTTTCGTCTCATCTATGACGGTCTGGGCGGCCCATTGATAAGCCCTGAATGAGAAATCTAAAGTGAGAGTCCAAGTATCGCCTGATAGGAGTATGTCCCCTCTTCTCAAGAAGAGTGTTCCTTCCCGTCTCTGGATTTCATGGATGTTTTCTTCATCCCATGAGGAAGCACTCAATGTTGGCCCAAGGGACAAAGTTGACCACATCACACATAAATAGACAATTATGCATTGCATCTGGAACCGAATATTATCGAATGTAGGAGGAGTGCTAGGTGACTTCTATAACCTTGGATTAATGCAAAAAGTAAACCTTTCATCCTATATTAATTTCCAAACTTGTGTTACATATTCATTTGGACAAAGCATTGACAAGCAACAGTAATTTATCTATCATGGAGGGGTTATCATGATCCGCTGTTTCCATTTGGATACCAGATATGTTATCTCTTGAGGAACACGCCGTAGACGGTTGATCCGTTCCTGGGGTTTCAACATCAAGAGCAAAGGTCACCTTTTTAGTGGTTTTGGCCTTGGCTCTTTCAGGGGGCAGAACCCAATCTACTTTCGGGCCAGATCCTTTGCTCCTTAGCGCCCAAGTCTTTTTCAGAGGAGTCTTTTTAGTCAGTCTTTCTCCTTCTTTTGCCTTCCCTATGTCTCCCTCCACTTCACTTCACTTTCTGCCTCGTTTACTAAGGAGGCATCTTCCTCCTTGTCTGTTCCCTTTTCTCCTTGTTCAGAGTATTCCGAGGGGGTTGGATGAGGAAAAAGAGGTGCATCGAGACTTTCATCCGGGTCAGCTTCAAGCTGCTCCCAAACTTCTTCTTTCTCTTCTACTGTTTGGTATGGGAATGCTTCAGAGTAGTACCTTTTTATTCTGTTTGCGTGAACTACGATAGCCTGAGTTGCTCCTACCCTAGAGATTTTGAAGGTCACTGGACCCAATTTCTCAAGAATGCGGTAAGGTCCCGTCCAGAATCGAGCCAATTTAGCCGTTCTCCCTTCTTTTACTCGCGGTACATACAATAGTACTAGATCTCCTACTTGTAGGTCAGACTCATCCGTCCTCCTGTCATAATATCGCTTTTGTCTCAACCCACTCTGTCAATTTTTCTTTGGCCCTGGTATAAGCCCGATGCAACCTGGCAGCCATTTCCGATTTATAGTTGGTGTGAGTATCATATTTACCGCGTTACGGCCTGACGATATCATCAAAGGGGAGACTTGGATCCCTCCCATTCAAGAGATAAAAGGGGGTTTCTCCTGTTGCCTCATGAGGTGCTGTTCCTTATGCGAAAAGGACAAAAGGAAGGAATTGATCCCAATCATATTGAGTTCCATCCTCAACATAATGAGATCATTCCCATTAATGTCTTGTTGAACCTTTCCACTACTCCATTGGTTGATGGGTGATAAGGGGTTGTGTTCAGCTTGGTTATTCCGAAAAATTCATATATGGATTTCATCAATTTATACAGGAAATTGGTTCCTCTGTCTGTCAGAAGTTTCTCAGGAACTCCATGCCTTGTCACAATTTCATTGACAAAGACTTTCGCGATGGTATCTGCTTTCTGATCAGGTAAAGGAAATCCTTCTACATATCTGGTAAGATAATCAGTGAAGACCAACATATATTTGTTGCCTTCGTAAGACAGTGGTAGAGGACCTAATATGTCCATTGCAACAAGTTCAAAGGGGCGTTTGGCCACGCGAAAGAGCTGAAGAGGAACTGGCTTTCGGCCTGGAGGTGTTTTCTTCTCTTGGCACGATTTGCAATTTCTTATAATCCGAAGGACATCCTGACTCATTTTAGGCTAAAAGAACTGAGTTTTAATTCTTCTCACTGTTTTAAGTATTCCCAAATGTCCTGCCAATGGTGGCTCATGATTCAAACGAACAATGTAATTAACCATGGTTTTGGGGATTACTATTTGCTCTACAGCTCGACCGCTTGGCAAAATGCCTCTTTTGAAAAGAAGTTTCTCATTTAGTACAAAATCTCCACAAGTCCAGTTTTCCTTCTCCATCTGCTCTATCAATGGTCCCCAATTTGGGTCAGATCTCTGCTCAGACTTGATTCGTTGTCGGTCATAGTAAGGCTGGTACGCTATTACATCTTCCTCCTCCGTCTCAATTACATTGATGTAGCTAGCCTCGTCCCTATCAAATGATTGTACAGTTCCTGAGATTTTTATTCGGGAAAGGGCATCCACGTTGGAGTGTTTTCGCCCAGGACGGTGTATTACCTCGTACTGGTAATCCTGGAGAAGTACCGACCATCTGGCTAATTGAGAACTCGGATCTCTCAAGTTCATAAGCCATCTTAGAGGAGCATGGTCAGTGACCAATAGAAATCTCCTCCCATAAACATAGCACCGAAAGGTTTTTAGGGCTTGTACCACGGCTAATAGCTCCTTATGAATGGTGGAGTACTTACGCTCAGCATCATTGAGCTGGCGACTCTGGTAAGATATAGGTAACTCTTGACCATTGTGATTCTGACAAAGAACGCTACCTATCGCTTCATTGGAAGCGTCGGTCGCAATAATGAAGGGTTTACCGAAATCTGGAAATTGCAAAATCGGCTCATGGAGCAGAGCCGATTTCAAGCTGTCAAAGGCTTGTTGCGCCTCTTCTGTCCACATAAATTGGACGTCTTTCTTGGTGAGTTGAGTGAGTGGACGCGCTCGCGCTGCGAAATTTGGAATAAAACGCCTATAGAATCCTGCCAGTCCTATAAACGCTCGTACCTCTCGCACGTTCTGAGGGGAAGGATATTCTTCTACTGCCTTCACCTTTTCTGGATCAGGACGAAAACCTTGGGCACTGATATGACCCAAGAATTTCAGCTCCTTACGCAGAAAGTTGCACTTGTGCGGTTTTAGCCTTAATTTGCTTTCCCTCAACTTCTGAAGAACTGTCTTTAGCCTGGCCACGTGTTCCTGAAAAGTTTTACTAAAGACGATGACGTCATCTAAGTAGACCAGACACGTTTCGTACATCAGGCCAGATAGTACTAAGTCCATCAGTCTCTGAAAAGTGCTTGGTGCACCTACCATGCCAAAAGGCATGCGTAGCCACTCATATTTCCCATTTGGTAGTATGAAAGCTGACTTTGGTATGGCGTCAGGTGCTAAAGGTATTTGCCAGTAGCCCGACGCCAAATCCATTGAACTGAAAAGCTTTGCTCCCCCCAATGCGTCGATGGTCTCGCTAATCAGTGGGAGAGGATATGGGTCTGGTCTTGTGATTTGATTTAGCGCCCGATAATCGCAACATATTCGTAGTGATCCATCGGGTTTATCTACCATAACTACTGGGGCAGCCCATGGGCTAGTACTTGGACGGATAACACCGTCAGCCAACATCTCCTGGATGTTCTTTTTCAACGCATTCCTACGTGCTTAGGCACACGGTACGGCCTCTTCGCAACCGGGACGTGATCTCCTGTATTTACCTGATGTTGGATTAAGTCGGTATGTCCCAACTTACGTCCAGGTAATTGAAAAACGTCCTGGTATTCATAAAGCAAATCCATGAACTGGCCACGCGCAGAAACCGGAATGTGTGAAAGTTCAAAATGAGTTTCAAATTCTTCTCTTGAGAACTCATCCGAAACTCCCCCAATAATTCCTCCTATGCCCTCTTTTTTGGGTAGGGGTTGAAAACTTCCCAATGTCTTTCCTTTTGGAAGATGAACTGGGGCGTTTCCTATATTGAGGACTTTCACAGGGATCACTCCGTTTCTGGCGATGGCTAGAACTGCCGCGATCAGTATACCTTATATGCCGGAGTTAAAAGGTGAAAAAAAATGACCTCTTGGCTCTCCTCCGATCGGACCACCACATCCACAAGAACTTCGGCCCGTGGGGGAATCAAAACCCTCTCCCCCAATTTAGGTAGGTCCCTCTTCCTTGCGGCTGCTTTCCCCGCATTCTCGTGAACTTTTACTTTTTGAAACGCATCCTTTCCTTGTTCCCTAATTCCTCTAGGAAATCCTGCTTTTTGATTTTCTGATTGCACCTTAGAACTATTTTTCTTCCTTACTTTTGGAATGGCTCCTAATTTCCCAGCTATCGGGGCTGACTTTTCAGAAATGGATGTCAGTGGGTTGGACTCCATCATTTTGTCGGCAGGGACATGACCCTGACTTAGGCCATCGCCGAATCTGGCAGGAACATCAAAGTCACATTGGTATGGACTGGATTCCCTGAAGGGACAGATTCTGCTGCCCCAGGGGTTTTTCACACCATTAATGCTGAGAGTACGATCCTGAAATGAAATTACTGCTTGTATTTCATTGAGAAAATCGCAACCCAAAAGGACCTCAGCAGAAAAGGTTGGTGTGATAACTCCAATCCACACGGGAATTGTTACTCCTACGCCATTACCCAAGGCAATTTCAATGTCATAACACCCTTTTGTTTTAATCTTGTGTCCTGAAACCCCATAAAATTCCCTTGAGGATGTATACTGAAAACATCCTTTCAGAATTGTCGACGGTAGCACACCTTCTCTGACTACTGTTACGGAAGAACCAGTATCAATCAAAGCACTACATTTTACAATTCCTTGCAAGTTAACTGTGACTAGAGGGGCAGAACAATTGTCCTCATCTTCCAATCCACTGACATACCCTCGCCTACCTTCTAATGGTGGGGCGAGGGTGTTAGCCCGTTTTTTGGACTTTGTTGTTCAATCGTTCGGAAAGATGGTGCATGAGTGGATAATCCACTAACCTTTTTTTTCCCATTTCGGCAATTCCTGGCTATGTGCCCTCGCTGTCCACATGCGAAACAGCTTCGTGTGACCTGTTGAATTTGGCATTCCCGGCTCATGTGGCCTGGCCGTCTGCACCTCCAGCATGTGACTGGATACCTAATGGGCTGCTGATTTTGAAAGTTGTTCCCTTGAAGGTCTCGATGCCTCTGATCCCATTCCATCCTTCCCTGGTTTCCTCTGTCTCTGGGCATTCCTTGTCCCCTCTCCACGAGAAAGAGTGGAGTACGACCAATTCCTTGGTCCCGCACCTCCTCCTGCGCAGCTATCTCAATAGCATTATCAAGAGTTGGGGAATCATTCCAACGTATAAAGCGCCGGAGATCGGGATTACGAAGCCCTTGTTCAAACCTGACTTTCAGGAGATTTTGAAGCAAGGTGGTGTCCGCCTTCCCGGAGACTCTCAAGTTTCGCACCAATCCCCTTGATGCGGGCTCCCCAGGTCCTAACTGTTTCAGAGGCCATCTGGTTCATCTGGGACAACTCAACCTGCAAAGTTGAAAGGTCTTCAGGAACTGCGTATTGTTTTATAAGAGCCTTACTGAGTTCTTCAAAACTCTTGTAGGGAAAGGTGTCCTCGTTGGCAGCAATGAATTCCCGGGCTGGTCCGGTGATCTTCAGCTTCGCAATGGTAAGGACGGTGGAATCATCCCAAGTGGGTACCAGGGCTCTTGCCTGAAGAATCTTTCCTACAAATTCCCTAACTGCAAGTGTCCCTCTAATGCCTGAAAACTCAGGGAGGCTTCCTATTAGAGTGAGGCTGCCGAATGAGAGAACATTCTCTCCTTGTTCTTTAGTGGTACTTGAATCTCCCGTTACCCTTTCCTGAACTTTTCCTCTCTCATCCTCAACCTTTGGGGTCTTTTCCTTGCCCTTCCCAGCCTGATCCATGATTTAGCAGTTACTAAGAATCTAGTTGAATTTTCACTCCTGGCTGTACCTACAGTGAAATTATCATATTTTTGTTGTAGAATCCCACCGCTGCCACCAAAAATGTCACATATTGGATAGGAGATGACCCCCTAATCAATACACGACTATGGGATTATTAGGTAATCTCGGGTTCGGTACAGCAAATTCAGGAAAGAAAATCCACCTTCGGAATTTCAAAATAGTTACACATTTATATTAATATTCAAAGGTTTAAAATAAAATGGATGATTAAATAAAATATTGGAGGGACAAAAGACACAACACCAGAAAAACGTCTCACAGACACATCTCCATTTGATCCCCGCCCCACCCAAAAGCTGCTCCTCGCTCTTGCTCTCGCTATACCTCTCTCCCTCTCAGTCCTCCAGAATCCCCTCACGACCTCCTTCGACTCCTCCTTTTTCCCCGGGTCTTCCCGGATGAAGCCGATAAGGTTTTCCGTTCCAGCTTATGAGTCCGGATGTCTCATCCTGGGGCATTATCGGTCAACAAGGTCAGGATATCCGTCTCCAGAGAAGGGCTGCTTTTATCTTTCTATTACTTCCTGCGTCTTGTATCGGGTCCCTAGGTACGACATTCTTAATGAGCTTTTTAATATGTGTCAATGGCATGCCACATCCTTCAACATTTCTCTTTCTTTTTCATGGAAGACCTTGTTACGTTAGCTTCAGTTCCTATGGAATCCTCTATTGGGACCTTTAAGTTCAACTTAAGAGGCCCTTTTATATGTGATGCACCTGTGCGTGCAGATTTAAAGGGCATCGTGAACCATGGGGCTCATGTTGCATTGTTGCAACTTGATGCACCATGTCGTACCGATGCTACCTTTGTTAAACACCAAGATGAGTCACATCATTGTTTTGGTGTTTCTTCGCCTCTCCTTGACCTTGGTATAGGGGTAGTTTCTGCACTGGTCCTTGACTACATGCACCTTGTTTGTTTTGGGGTGATGAAGCGATTGCTATCTTGGTGGAAATGAATTAAACAACACCGTGATGTGAGTCTGGGTCGTTTCTCCATCTCAGAGCTTTCCCTTCTCTTACCCAAAGTACGTGATAATTTACCAGATGATTTTCCTCGTAAGCTTGAAGGGGGAATGGAAATCAAAACCTTTCATTCTGGAAAGCCATAGAATTCCGTTTATTTTTGCTCTATGTTGGGCCAGTGGTTCTCCATCATAAGAAAACTCTGCCTCATGAAAGGTATAGAAACTTATTGAAGCTATGTGCTGCAATGAGACTTCTTAGTTTTGGACAAGAGGAAACATGAACTTCATTAGAGACTTACTCAAAGCCTTTGTGCAGGAAAGTATTCAACTGTATGGTCCTGATTTCATTTCCTACAATATTCATTCATTAATTCACCTTCCAGATGACTATATTCACTATGGGCCATTGGACAGAATTAGCTCATTTCCATTTGAGAATTTCATAGCCTGATTTCACAACAGCTGTTAATGAACAGCCTATCGGCCTCTTCAGCAAATTGCACGAAGCCTTTCAACGAATAATGATCTTGCAGATGAAGATATCTTGTGTTTAGATATTGGGGATTTCAAGGTGAGGAAGGAGAGGAAGGATGGACTCATTCCACACACCATTAATGAAACTGTTATAAGCATTTGACTTATGGTTCTAGTTTCTCAGTGTGTCGTGGTGATATGAATGATAAGAATGCATGTGTTCTGCTGAAATGTGGGAATATAGGTATTGTCCAAAATATTTTCACTGCTCATTCCACCATCTACATTGTTTTGCAGAATTTCTTGACTATTAAAAATTTGTTTTCATTTCCATTGGCTTCAGATAAATTCCCAGATTTCTAGGTGTCAAACCATGGAGTGGTTGAAGTCACTTACGCTGGTAAAATTTGTGCAAAATGTGCCTTGTTGCCATTCAGGAATAAGCATGTCGCTGTGCAGTTGCTTCATTCAGTTATCCCCTTAAAGGGTTAGGCCCAGGCCTAGTTTTTTCCACTATGCATTTTGTGTTCATCACATGCATCTTTTGTAACGGGCCGACGCCCTTCCAGTCGTGTCACGGTGCAACGGGCCACCGCCCTTCCAGACATGTCGTCCAGAGAAAGGAAAAGGAGGCATGCTGATTCAGGAGACGGACAGAAGTCAGGGTGATAAGCTGAGGAGACAANGTAGGCCACGAGGGCAAGTGAAATTTCACTGACGGTATTTAATAATTATGTACTACATTTGTGCCAATTTTGGTTAAAATCGGAGCGTATCACTTCGTGAATGTCCCTTGTGAGTTCTTCAAAACTCTTGTAGGGAAAGGTGTCCTCGTTGGCAGCAATGAATTCCCGGGCTGGTCCGGTGATCTTCAGCTTCGCAATGGTAAGGACGGTGGAATCATCCCAAGTGGGTACCAAGGCTCTTGCCTGAAGAATCTTTCCTACAAATTCCCTAACTGCAAGTGTCCCTCTAATGCCTGAAAACTCAGGGAGGCTTCCTATTAGAGTGAGGCTGCCGAATGAGAGAACATTCTCTCCTTGTTCTTTAGTGGTACTTGAATCTCCCGTTACCCTTTCCTGAACTTTTCCTCTCTCATCCTCAACCTTTGGGGTATTTTCCTTGCCCTTCCCAGCCTGATCCATGATTTAGCAGTTACTAAGAATCTAGTTGAATTTTCTCTCCTGGCTGTACCTACAGTGAAATTATCACAATTTTGTGGTAGAATCCCACCGCTGCCACCAAAAATGTCACATATTGGATAGGAGATGACCCCCTAATCAATACACGACTATGGGATTATTAGGTAATCTCGGGTTCGGTACAGCAAATTCAGGAAAGAAAATCCACCTTCGGAATTTCAAAATAGTTACACATTTATATTAGTATTCAAAGGTTTAAAATAAAATGGATGATGAAATAAAATATTGGAGGGACAAAAGACACAACACCAGAAAAACGTCTCACAGACACATCTCCATTTGATCCCCGCCCCACCCAAAAGCTGCTCCTCGCTCTTTCTCTCGCTATACCTCTCTCCCTCTAAGTCCTCCAGAATCCCCTCTCGACCTCCTTCGATTCCTCCTTTTTCCCTGGGTCTTCCCGGATGAAGCCGATAAGGTTTTCCGTTCCAGCTTATGAGTCCGGATGTCTCATCCTGGGGCATTATCGGTCAACAAGGTCAGGATATCCGTTCCCGGAGAAGGGCTGCTTTTATCTTTCTATTACTTCCTGCGTCTTGTATCGGGTCCCTAGGTACGACATTCTTAATGAGCTTTTTAATATGTGTCAATGGCATACCACATCCTTCAACATTTCTCTTTCTTTTTCATGGAAGACCTTGCTACGTTAGCTTCAGTTCCTATGGAATCCTCTATTGGGACCTTTAAGTTCAACTTAAGAGGCCCTTTTATATGTGATGCACCTGTGCGTGCAGATTTAAAGGGCATCGTGAACCATGGGGCTCATGTTGCATTGTTGCAACTTGATGCACCATGTCGTACCGATGCTACCTTTGTTAAACACCAAGATGAGTCACATCATTGTTTTGGTGTTTCTTCGCCTCTCCTTGACCTTGGTATAGGGGTAGTTTCTGCATTGGTCCTTGACTACATGCACCTTGTTTGTCTTGGGGTGATGAAGCGATTGCTATCTTGGTGGAAAGGAATTAAACACCGTGATGTGAGTCTGGGTCGTTTCTCCATCTCAGAGCTTTCCCTTCTCTTACCCAAAGTACGTGATAATTTACCAGATGATTTTCCTCGTAAGCTTGAAGGGGGAATGGAAAACAAAACCTTTCATTCTGGAAAGCCATAGAATTCCGTTTATTTTTGCTCTATGTTGGGCCAGTGGTTCTCCATCACAAGAAAATTCTGCCTCATGAAAGGTATAGAAACTTCTTGAAGCTATGTGCTGCAATGAGACTTCTTAGTTTTGGACAAGAGGAAAACATGAACTTCATTAGAGACTTACTCAAAGCCTTTGTGCGGGAAAGTATTCAACTGTATGGTCCTGATTTCATTTCCTACAATATTCATTCATTAATTCACCTTCCAGATGACTATATTCACTATGGGCCATTGGACAGAATTAGCTCATTTCCATTTGAGAATTTC